TAAGTAAAAATAATAAAAATCAGAAATATTAATGTCAAAGCATAGATAATTTAGTGACTAATTCAAATCTGCTTTCAAAATTAATATCAGATATTGGGAGTGGTGATTGAAGTCGTGAGTTATGTTTTCGACCGAAAAATGGTCTTCTAAGTACCTACATATTAGCACATTACAAGATCAATTTTTTTAGTGAAAAACTTAAATACAATTTTTATAAAAAAACAATTTTTTGTGTTAAGTGCTCTAAAACCACTAAAACGCTCTAATAATATTAAAAAGACGATAAATATTAAAGGTTAAAATGTTATTGAGTACCTACTATAGAACTATAACGTCATGTGTCAATTTCCTTTTCACATTATATTTGTATAGCATTAATTATTCAATTATGATTGGGTAGTTTTTAGAACAAAATATTGTATCGTACACATATTCTTACAATATAACAATATTACCTATTATGAATAAACTACTTTTAAATTGTATTCATAAATGATAAGTAAGTTATAAAAGCATTGTAACATAAATATTAATTTCTCGCTCGTTATACAAATACCTCACGGTACCTACTAATAATAACAATAATCAATCAATTACAATTAAACGATGTTTTAACTTTTTGGTTTAACTATAATAAGATATTTCGGCACCGATACTTGGCTCTTACAACCGATAATATTAAAAATGCTACCTATTTTCAACTATATTTTATAATATTAAATTACCTGCTTTTTTCGCATACGTCAAATATTCATTGTCCAATTTGTAGTTGTAATAACCACATAATTCATGTCTAATTATGGCTGAGAAGCATCGGCAGAATAACTGTCATTCGTCAAAAGACGAACTATAAAATGTAGTTTAATTTATTGCTTAATAATATGTAAGTAGGTATTTCTTTATTTTAGAAATTGGTGGTTATTTCACTGAGTGTACCTATAAATAACATTTATTCAATTATGATCGGGTATTTTTTAGAATAAAATATTTTACCGGCTCATATTTTTAAAATATTATTATCTTACGAATTAATTAATTTTCAGTTTTAGTCATAAGTTCTAAGTTAGTAATAACAACAATGTAATATAAAACGTTAATTTACGAAATGTTCGTTTTTGCCCAAGGTACGAATAAACTGTCTTATTGTTCAAATTAAATAATGTGTTAAGTTTTTGGTTTAATAGAAATAAATAATACGGTATTTTTAATCCGATACTTTTCTCTTAAAATCGATAGTGAGATATTAAAATACTGCATGAAAGTATTCCCAAAATGTTTGATTAAAAATACCACAGAAATATAATATTCAATAAAGTCTTGTAACGCTATGTGAAGATGCCTCTGGTGATCTATGTCACCTAATTGTAATTCTAAAATAAAACGTAATTTCTATTGATAATATTTCTAAAGTTACGCTTAGGTATACCTCGTTTTTTTCTTTCGTTTTGATCCCGCTTTAATAAAATAATAGATATTGTAACAGATTTGAATCGAATCAGTTTTTTTCGTAATTAATTTAACATGCAAATGTATAAATGTACCTAGGTGCCGAGACCTACCTACATATAAATAAACCGCGCTATCATATAAAATAATATGACTACATTTTCACAATAAATTGCATTTTAAAATCGTTTGTAATATTACGAGTTAATAATGTATATGAACGACGGCTATACGACGTGATTAAAAAAATAGAAAAATATATCCAATACATTATTTTTATACCTATTGTATTATGGGTTGGCCTTACACAATAAGCATTCCTCGCTATAGCCAATGGGCGACATTGGACAACCCTTTCTCTAGACACTGAGCAATAACCGTCTGTGCGGGTGATGGGGAGGGAAGAGTAGACGTTCCGAACAAATATTTACAGCAGATAATATCTATCGATTTAGTAAAACATATTTTGACGGTTATAAAATATAATAGTATTGTGGTGTAAAATAATTATCTAATACATTTTGGACGTTTTTAACTGTCATGCTAACTATAGAACTTGTAAATTGTAATGTCCGTGGTAAAAATATAATCAAACGGGTTTTCTGCTTTACAAATTTAGGGATTCTCCTGCATCATTATCATAGTTTTTTTTCGTAAACGTTCTGATTAGAATCAATAACTAAGATAGTTTGTGATTAGATTTTTGATTTTTGATTTTTTTCATATTTTCTGATTTAAATGTTGTGAGTTGAGACGACGTTAAATATTAATTCGATTTCATAATTATTATGATATCACCAATATTTCATAATCGCCATAGATATGTAGTATACAGTACCTGGTACCTAGTAGATATAGGTACATAATATAATAGATTTCCAACTCGTGTTAATAGTTGTAGTAAAAATCCTATAATTTTCGTGAGAATTATGGGTTTCGTACCTACTGTTATTTTAATGAAATGAAATATGAACACAAAATTTTAAAATTAAAATATCGAAAACCAAAAACTAGTTCATGCATGTCAATTCACAATTTTTTTCAAATTTAGATTCGTATTTGCACTGTGCAGCTATTTATTTAAATTAAGAGTTAATATTGTGGAGTTATTTTATGTATTGAGCTATTGAAATTTAAAAATATCCACATACTCTGCGAAAAAAAATTGTGAGCACGCTAAATAACCAGCACAACCTGCAATTATAATCGAACAGCGCAGCAGTGAAAAGTTCGATTTTTTAACCAAATGTTGACACTGAAATAATGTTTTTCTGAAAAGGATTTACCGTCTACATTTTTAGCAAAATTATAACTTAACCTTTAACGGTTCCTCAATTATAAGTCGGTATTTATTACATAATATCACCAACATAGACTACTATATTATGCTACCTTATACGCATCGTTTTTTAACCGTTTACACGACTGTAAAATTTACCTAAAAAAACGAAATTACCTATCGACATATTTGAATTAGTTATTGTTGAATTTTTCAATTAAATTTATTTTGTGTTAATTTTTGACTGATTTGTAGTTTGTACATATAAAATATTATTTATATATAAATCATATTACGTTTTAATTGTTTTTAATTTATATATAGAGTACCTATATATTTAACCTATATATTAAATATATTTTTAAAATACTTATGATTTTGATATAAATTTCAAAGAAGATTTTTAAAAACTTTTTATGATTTATATTGATATATATAAAATTGATTTTGAAACGATGAAGTATGTTGCATTTTAGTATTGCGTTCGGATATTTATTTATTCAGTTTGTTATAGCCCCGCCATCCATATAACAATAAATACATAATATAAATATGAAATAATTTTACGAAAAGTACGTACCGTTACTATGAGGTACCTACTAATCAATACTCAAAAACTATTTCATAGTAAGTGTGCCCGATAGATCAGAAGTTACATTGATACCTAATTTTTCGCCGCCGTATCGCCATATCTCGCCACCGACCGGCTCACACACACACTCTCACGCACACATGTTTATTGTTTATTTTTATTTTATATTAGTATAGCAATTATATAATTATAATATGTAGATTAAAGCTGGTTATATCGTACGCCACCGGATCGGCTGCGCGAATATAATTAACACGGCCGCCGTAACATTTTTGTCTTCCTCCGTCCGTCGTCTTGACCAAACCGTCGTCTTGACCAAACCGTCGCCTTGACCAAACCGTCGTCGTGAGCAACCCGTCGCGGATATTGAAAGGCACGAATTGCCAAAATTATTGTTTCCATCAAAGCGCATAAATAGTTTTATATACCTATTGTTCAGGCGCTAATTGCCACGTTTTTATATATATTGTAAGGCACGAATTTTCAAAATTATTATTTATTGTAAGGCGAGAATCGCCAGTGTATACTATTTTCTTATTATTATTTCAATATAGTGTGTGTATCGTGTAGTATTATTATTATTATTATTATTTCGATATAGGATAGGTAGCAGCTGGTAGCACTTAGTCGTTACACAGGTCAGTCGGTGTGTGAGTACAGCGCGTGAAGTATTTTTTTGACCAGTCAGCACGGCCCATCATTGTTCGTACCCGTACACCTATCATTAACCGATATATTAGACATGGTTCAACAATTTTTTCTGACAGCTGGAAAGCTTATGTTAATTTTCAACAACATAGATTTCAACATGATTTGGTTTATCATAGATACAATATCGTGGACCCTAACTCAGGAGTCAGGAGCCTACATACGAAATGTCGAGAGTATTTGCGGTGGTCGGCTGAATTGGACGACAAAAAACGTAGATGAACTGATAGACACTTTTTAGACTATACAACATGGCGGGATTTATGAGGCGATCAAAACTTAACAATAAAGTGATCATAAGAGAAACCATAAACATTTTTATACATTTTTTAATTTATCATTGTTTTATACCTACTTATACAATATATTTATTATAATATTATTATTATATATTTTTTAATATTATACATCAATATATCAGTCGTTGAATTATTATTATTATGGAATCAATAAATAAATGTATTTATTGTTATACGGATACCTAGGCATATTTCAAAATATTGACATAGCCTGCGAACAAATTTTGAGCACACTAAATAACCAGCACAGCCGACAACACTCTTTTTGAATTATAATCGAATAATATAGGTATATTTGAAATAATTTTTTTCTAAAAAGGATCTACTATCCATACCTACCATTTTAGCAAAATGATAACTTAACCTAACCATTCCTCAATTGTCAACAGTCTGTGTTTATTACAATATTGCCAACGTATACACTATCTAACACCTTATAAATGTTTACTATTTTAATTTTGATATCTACCTACGAACTATAATACGTGGAAGATGGACGTTCCACTTGCTCGTCGTTTTTACCATTTGCGCGACTGTAAAACAGTGAATTAATAAAAAAAAAAATACAAAAATACAAAAATATATACTTTTTTCTATAACTATTCTCTTTATGATGAAGTTTATATAATTAACTAATAATCAAATGTTTTTTCTGTCCAAAATATTCAGTGCAAACATGAGGAAATGCATCATAAAAGAAAGCGATCCTACAATTGGGGATTACTTCGTATGTACGCGGTGTAAACATTTTATGTTGTCAACAGCTACCGCCGAAGCTCATAAAAAGTGCAAGAAGATACTGATCAAAACGTAAGTATAAATTAATAATTATTAAATCTAATAGGCCATAATTAGAGAAACAACTGCATCGTGGTAGCGGAAAGCGTGGTTCTTCGAAAATTCGAAACGTCTGGTTAAATTGTCTTAGTTTTGTAGGTAAAATTATTAGCTCGGGTCATGGGCAAACCATACTATAAGTATAAAGTAATATATATATATACAGTGTACTGATTCGAGTAACTCAATCCTTGATACCTCGAGATTCTCTACATCTCGAACAAATAAAGTTTTCTTCGAATAATAATGAAACATTGAGATTTTGATAACTCGAAATTTAGTAATATTAGTCATTCGAATTTCTGTGACCATCGAGTTATACAGCGAGTACACTGTAAATAATTTAATTCGAGTTTATTAGCTATGATATTATAGTGTTTTAGATTCTGATGTGTGTGTGTGTGTGTGTGTGTCATTTTTGTTTTTTGTGTCTGTGAACACGATAAGTTATTGAAATAATTCTTCGATTTTAAACTTCAGTAATTTTTCTGGTAGGAAGGTCTATATGTTGGTGCTTTCGAGAGGTTAATAATATATAGAAATTCAAAATCATTTTTCGACAACCAAATCGAATTTGGTTTTTAGTTAAACTATAAAAAAAAGAACTGTTTTACATTAGTGTGGCAATCCCTAACATTGCCGGGCGGTAAAGTGGAAATCTCAAAATTGCCGGGCTCACATATCGTTATATAGTCGTGACAAAAAATAGTATGTGTGGCTCGAGTGGGAAAGCCATTTTAGTCTTGAGCAAAATGCGGCCCTCGCTCATAATAAATATTATGTAAGTACTATATTTTTTTTTTCCTAGATTTGAACCGAAGGAACAATTATACCGATGCTCTTCGTGTGGGCGGTACTTTGAAGAGTTGAGCCCATGGTTTTCACACGAAAAATTACACAAGGAGCTTGGAACTTACGATCCTAGCAAGTTCGTACTTAAAATAGACGAAAATAATTTTGTTGTCAATTAAAGTGTTTGATCTTTTTTCTTTGTAAGAGCTGTGGATTTTAGTATTATTTTTTTTTTAATTTTTTTTTATCATTTTACAGTCTGCTAACTCTAACAAAAAGACATTATTTATATTTTATATTTAGCATTTTTTTATTATTTTTATATATACATTTAACATTTTGTATACTCCAAAAATATAAATGTAAATAAATAAAATGATATTCTATAATTTCATCTTTACTTCATATAGTTTTCTAGCATTTTAAATAGAAACTTCCGAAGTATAAAAAGAAAATTGTCATGAAATCACGATATGCTTATACAGTTGACATACGTGAGCGGCTTGACATATTATCATAATTTTGTCACAGGGAGCTTTCCTTTGTAGATTTAGGGCTTAAGATAAAGGAAGCACAGAAGAGACAGTGAAATAACTCAAACCCTGAACACGGATAAGGCAGTATGTTTTTTTCGGCACCAACTATAAGTGTGATGTGTGCAAGACATTATAGTTTAAAATAGACGGTGATCGAAACAATTTGGTCGACGGTGGCAGAACTATTCGCCGAGACAGGTAGGTATGAAAAAATGTATCAATCTGTGACTTGGATATCATTTCTGACAAAAATACAAATATATTTGGTACGGAGATGAAACTAAAATATAGCTAATATAATATATATTATTAATAATTATGATTAAAACAAATAATTCCTGTATAATTAGATAGATAATATAATATACATTTTATTGTTCGATAGGTATTTGTTAATATATAAGAATTATATGTTAACTCTGAAGCTACTAAAGATCTAGAATCTGAATAATCTATTACATTAACTATTTAAATAATGTATTCATTTTAAAATTAATATCTTATAATTTTTTCTTATTATTTAAATATCCCAAATAAAATTAGTAAATAATATTGACAACTTTAATATACAATTAACTTAAAACATAAAGAAACAGTAATAAAACATAGTTACCTATTATTCATGTATAGCTACTTATTAACAAGCTTCAATAAGAGTAAAATAAATATTTTTACAATCATCTGAATCAGTTCAATGTGTCGAAGACAAAAAAGAAAAGTTTAATAAAAAAAAAAATAATACTCATAGTGATGGCAGTGGTACTGGTAAACATTTATTTATATTTCAACATAATATTTTTAGTATAATATATACTCTAAATATTTCTTATAAAAATACACTGTGTTGGTTAGTGTCCCTCCATCAATTTATCAATATTATATACCTACTATTGGTGTAACTATGTAGGCAGCTATAGGTATTGAACTAAATTTACTAATTAACTTCCTTAATCATATATGTATATAATACACGTATATAACATGCTTACACATATATAATATGCTAACATTATAATATTATATATTACAAAAGTAGGGATTTATAGTATTCTAGAATAAAAAAAGAAATAAAAAGTACTTTTAAGTATTTAAAATACATTGGTCAAAAAGTATTTGAATACTGAACAAGACTGGACAGTAGGTACACAATGCACTATATCCATACACACATGCATATACATAAGTCTAATAATACTAATAATTTAAATAATAATAATATAATTTATAAGACATTAAATAAGTGGCAGATATATATACCTATATACCTATATACCTATAGTAATAATTAATTTCTAATATACATATACATTTACTTACAATCTACACGTCATTGCATGTTTTTGTTGTTAAATAGGTAATTTGAAAAATTATAAATCAAAACTACATTATACCTACTGTGTGCATTGCATATTTATTATATACAATTTCTAGTTTCTATAGTTAAGGTATTGGTCAATAATCTATATATGAATGCAAATAGTGCAAGATTGCATTGGCATCTGTACTGAAAAAAAACTAATATAAAACTCAAAAAGAGTAAAAGTATCTTCATCAAGTATTATGTGAGCTAGGTAGGTCATAGGCGGTATAGTGTTTTAAGAAATTATATGATTCTTACACGCTAAATGCTAATTATAATTTAATATTTATACAAATATATTATATTATATAGTTTATGCTTTTAAACCAATATAGTAAAGGTACCTACTCATGGTGTTTAACCTATTCTAACTAACTTCCATAATATAGGTACTCTTAAGTCTTAATGCATACTATAGTATGTACCTACGTATAAACAGACACTTGGGTTAAAATTAATATAGTATGTCCCAAATGATATGGTAACTTCTCTATTAATTTCATATACACTAAACAGTAAGTATACCTATAATATATCATATTATATTATTGAAAAATCAGCACAAGTATGAATTGTCGAAGTTGTACCTTGTATTGCCTTTTTAATAACTCAAGAGTTAAATACGTGATATTAAAATGTAAATATAAAAATATCCATAAATATATTATAAAATGCAAGACGTATAGATAATTATGCAGTATGCATAGGTACATATAAAATATAAAAAACCCAAAATATTTATAAAATGCATAATTCAGTTATGGTGGTGCTGGGGTAACGTTACCCTGATACCCAATCTGGAAAATTGATTTTTCCTAGGGGAAGTATTTAGGTAGAAATTCTGAAAATGGTCGTACTAATCGGTACAAATTATAGTACAATTAATGGAAAAAAAAATGTTTCTAAAATGCATTATCTAGTTATACTTTATCCGGAGTGACGTATTTAGACATACCCACGGAAAAATAGATTTTTCGGAGGGAAATAATTGGGTACAAATTCTGAAAATGGTTTTACAATATCTTAGAAATATTATAGTACAATTAATGGAAAAAAAATATAGCGATATTGCATGAAGTAAAACAGTGAGACAACGACAACGTCGACAACCAACTAGTAACTACAGTTTTACACAATAATGTTCTTGTGTTAAATGAGCGGCAAGCTCAATAGACGAGCGCTTCCCCGCAGTAAGGCATTTGGCTGGCTTATCAAATAATAACTTTAACATAGAATTAAAAAAAATATAAATATATGTAAAATTCAGAATTTTCTAATTTTGATATATAGAAATGTATTATTTGTAATAGTTTGTATTGTATAATTTTTAGTTTCTTTAAGCCCCGTTCACACGATCAAACAATTTATCAAATATTTGATGTATGTCAAATATTTGACAAATTATTTTATCGTGTGAACATTGCTTTAGACCAGCGGTTCTCAAACTTTTTAAATTTGCGTGCCACCAGCTACACCATTTCCCAGTTACAAAAATTTCCGGAAACTCACTGTTCTCACAAGTTATGGCATATCAAAGTTGCAGCGATTACGCGTGTATCAGCACTCGTCGCTACGCTCCTCGGCGCCGTCGCTCCGCTCCGCAAATCGAAAATATCCCCCTATTTGCTTTTTCAACTACCTTATGTAAACCTCGGTTTTCCTCAATATTGTTTCTAAGTATATTTATTCCCAGCGTGGTCACTCGCTCGTCCATTCAAAAGTACCTATATTTTTTAATATTGACAACTTTGAATTGCCATAACTTTTGAAGTTTCCGAAAATTTTTTCAAATACTTGAATTAAGCGTAAAAAACCAATTTTATTATAATTATTATTTTTAGATATGATCAGAAAAAATTTAACTGTTGTCGCAGATTAACTCTATGATAACGTTATTATATTATGATAAGCCAGCCAAATGCCTTACTGCGGGGAAGCGCTCGTCTCAATAGGTACCTTTACATAGAATAAACTTTAAATACAGAAAACGATATGGCCGTTATCGAGACCAGACTAACCGATTTAAAATCGACCGTCGTAGAAAACCCGAAAACGTACTCAAGCAAAAATTATCAAAATAGTAGATACGATCATATTATTATTATATATACTTGTATGCGTAACTAATATAGCATGCGTAAGTGCGCTCGCGCGTGTGTGTGTGTTTGTGTGTGTGTGTGTGTGTGTGTGTGTGTGTGTGTGTGTGTGTGTGTGTGTGTGTGTGTGTGTGTGTGTGTTTGTGTGTTTATGTGCAGCATGTGTATACTTAATACGTTTATACAAACTTTTAATATGATTTCTAATTCAAAATTCTAAAAATATAAGATGTTAAGGACAAAACTGTGTTTTATATAAATGTAAATATGTTTATTTATTATCTCAGGTTCTTGGGGGGGCCTCCATCATGAATACGCCACTGGTGGTTTTGGTACCTATTATTCAGTAGGCAGTAGTTTATTATCTATAATATTTGAAAGCTAATAAATAATATAAATTAATGTATCAATCACCATTTTACAATTATTAGGCCGTAGATTATTATTTTTACTACCGACTAAGCTAAAATGGAGTATAGATTTCTATATAGCTAATAAGTATAATATAATGTAGTGGATGTGTGTGGGTGTGGGTGTATGTGTGTGTAGCGTGTGTATAATACTTTTATACAGACATTTAATATGATTTCTAATTCGAAATTCTAAAAATATAAAATGTTAAAGAAAAAACTATGTTTTATATAAATGTTAATTTGTTAATTTAGTATCACGGGTTTGTGTGAGGGGGGGTGTGACGGAATATTCATCAATATTTTTTTTGGATTTACCTCATTTTTATGGAACTAGAGCGTTTTAGCTTACCAGGGAAATATAATAATATATGTCAGTTATTAAAAAAATATATTGTACAAAAAAAATTTAAAAAATAAAGTCTATTATATTCAAATCAATAACAAGTGGTCAAAGTTAAAAAAAAACTGCGATTTCTGACATCGCTTGTCTTCTATGAGATGTCTTATGTAGGTATTTATATATTAAGTATAAAGAGTATTAGTATAAGTATAGTAAATTTAATAATACAAATATATTGTTTAGTTATTTTTCTGCATATTAATTAGACTAATTATCAGCTGATAATCGGAGTATAATAAAATAATGAAAGTAAAAATAAATTATAATGCCTAGTATGCTGCGCCGACGCGCAACGGCGCACAAATTCGAAAACAATTCGCTAAAAACAATTTAATTGGTTACGTGTACAGAAACGAATGTACACATCAATTCCA